AAACACGTCCTAATGTTTCCACCCGTACCGGGGATCGACCTCCGGACCTCAGTGTGAGAGCTGAGTGCGATAGCGATCCAGCTACAGAACACCTAGTGCTAGAATTGTGGCCTCATCTCTTGGAGCAACTGTGTCGTCACATGTGATTGCTCTGATTGATCCCACTGTGATGTCTTTTTCAGTGATGAGGGTATCAAGCGAGTTAGGTAAAGAAAAAATTGGTAACACATTGGAGGGAGGGAGTATGGAAGAAGTGAATGTTTTCAGTTATCTGAGAGTTGACTTGTCAGCGGATGGGTTTATGAAGGATGAAGTTAACCATAAAACTGATGAAGGAAAAAAAGGTGAGTAGTGCACTGAGGTATCTGTGGAGACAAAAAACGTTATCCATGGAGGCAAAGAAGGGAATGTACGAGAGTATAGTGGTACCAACACTCTTATATGGGTGTGAAGCTTGGGTTGTAAATGCTGCAGCAAAGAGGAAGCTGGAGGTAGTGGATTTGTAATATTTAAGGGCAATGTGTGGTGTAAATATTATGCAAAGAATTCGTAGTGTGGAAATTAGCAGTGGGTGTGGAGTTACAAAAAGTATTATTCAGAGGACTGAACAGGGGATGTTGAGTTGGTTTGGTCATTTAGAGATGATGGAGCAAAATAGAATGACTTGGAGGGTGCATAAATCTGTAGTAGGGGAGAGGGAGGGTAGGGGTCGTCCTAGGAAAGGATGGAGGAAGGGGCTAAAAGAGGTTTGGTGTTCAAGGGACCTGGACCTGCTGCAGGCATGTGTGAGCGTGTTAGATAGGAGTGAATGAAGACGAATGATTTTTGGGACTGGACGAGTTGTTGGAGTGTGAAGAGGGTAATATTTTGTTAAGGGATTCAGGGAAACCGGTTAACTGGACTTGAGTCATGGCTGTGGAAAGTATAATGCTTGCATTTTAAAGGGGGGGGGGAGTCGGGATATTGGCTGTTTGGAGTGACATCCAAACCGTCATATCTGGGCGCATCTGCAAAGACAGTGATTATGTGTAAATGATGGTGAAAGTGTTTCTTTTTTTGTTTTTGGACACCCTACTTCGATGGGAGGTGGCCGGCGTGTTGAATATATATATATAATATATATATATATATATATATATATATATATATATATATATATATATATATATATATATATATATATATATATATATATATATTTATTATTATTATTATTATTATCACACTGGCCGATTCCCACCAAGGCAGGGTGGCCCGAAAAAGAAAAACTTTCACCATCATTCACTCCATCACTGTCTTGCCAGAAGGGTGCTTTACACTACAGTTTTTAAACTGCAACATTAACACCCCTCCTTCAGAGTGCAGGCACTGTACTTCCCATCTCCAGGACTCAAGTCCGGCCTGCCGGTTTCCCTGAACCCCTTCATAAATGTTACTTTGCTCACACTCCAACAGCACGTCAAGTATTAAAAACCATTTGTCTCCATTCACTCCTATCAAACACGCTCACGCATGCCTGCTGGAAGTCCAAGCCCCTCGCACACAAAACCTCCTTTACCCCCTCCCTCCAACCTTTCCTAGGCCGACCCCTACCCCGCCTTCCTTCCACTACAGACTGATACACTCTTGAAATTATTCTGTTTCGCTCCATTCTCTCCACATGTCCGAACCACCTCAACAGCCCTTCCTCAGCCCTCTGGACAACAGTTTTGGCAATCCCGCACCTCCTCCTAACTTCCAAACTACGAATTCTCTGCATTATATTCACACCACACATTGCCCTCAGACATGACATCTCCACTGCCTCCAGCCTTCTCCTCGCTGCAACATTCATCACCCATGCTTCACACCCATATAAGAGTGTTGGTAAAATTATACTCTCATACATTCCCCTCTTTGCCTCCAAGGACAAAGTTCTTTGTCTCCACAGACTCCTAAGTGCACCGCTCACCCTTTTCCCCTCATCAATTCTATGATTCAGCTCATCCTTCATAGACCCATCCGCTGACACGTCCACTCCCAAATATCTGAATACATTCACCTCCTCCATACTCTCTCCCTCCAATCTGATATCCAATCTTTCATCACCTAATCTTTTTGTTATCCTCATAACCTTACTCTTTCCTGTATTCACCTTTAATTTTCTTCTTTTGCACACCCTACATATATATATATACATACATACATACTATACTGCAACCGACCAGTGATCGAACCTATGACATTTATCCAGCCTTCCGGAACACTAGAGAATAAAGGCGTCGAGAAATTTGCCTAGTGTCCCGGTAGGCTGCGAAAATGTCACGGGTTCGATCCCCGGTGAGCTGCAGTATTGACCACTTTGTTCTGTGGATACATTACATGTGGATACATTACATGTGGATACATTACATGTGGATACATTACATGTGGATACATTACATGTGGATACATTACATGTGGATACATTACATGTGGATACATTACATGTGGATACATTACATGTGGATACATTACATGTGGATACATTACATGTGGATACATTACATGTGGATACATTAAACACACATTTTTTTTTTCAACAAAAGTAGTTGAAAATCTTTTAGAAATTTGCGACCAACAAAATTAAGACAAAGTTAGGTACGTATGTCATTAATGTATAAAATATACTTAAATACTAGTCTATTTTATCATTTATTACCATAAAATATACACAAATCTATTATAAAAAGTTAAAATTTATCAAAATTTACACACATACTAAATACACTTCCTTAGGTTATCAACTTCCACTTCTCTCTTATTCGCTGATGTCATTCTTCTTGAACCTCATCTACCTCTTACTCTCACTGCATCTATGACTGAATAATTATCTGATATATCTGTTGTCCCTCTATGAACATACACATCCAGAAGCCAACCCATTAAAGTTATATTACGCCCTATAGCATATCTCGTGTTATAATATATTCTCTTTTTCTTAAAACATGTATCACCTATTACCAAACCTCTTTCTATACTAAGTTTAATTAAATGCGCCCCATTATCACTTACCCCTGGCACCCCAAACTTACCTATTATGCCCTCTACAAGTTTCTCCCACTTTAGCATTTAGTTCCCCACCACACTTACTCTCTCACTTAATCTCAGAATTAGTTCATCTCTAGCTTAATATCTCCTAAAATCTGCCTCCTCTACACTCCTCTGCTCTCCACGTACATTGGTACTTAGTATAATCCACTTTTCGCATCCGACCCTTATTTTAATCAAAATAATCCTTTAATTTATACATTTATATTTCCTCTCTTCCTTCCATAACCGATCATTTTACGTTACTGCTATTCCTTCCTTAGCTCTAATTTTCTCAGATACACTTGAGTTAATCCCATTTACTTCTTACAGCTGAAACTCTCCTGCATGTGGCCAGCAGTAACAGTCTGGTTAATCAGGCCTTGATCCAGGTTGTGGCTTGGTCATGAACTGGGCCGTAGGGACGTTGACCCCCGGAATGCCCTCCAGGTAGCTTCCAGGCAGGTAACCCCTTCAGCTTTGTTTCAGTTAGAGCTAGGACACCCAGCTTCTTTTCATTCATAACATTCACACATTCACATGTTCAAAAATCTCAGCTTTACAGTCATGCGCTGCATAACGACGTTTCGGTCAATGATAGACCGCATATATGGCAGTGGTGTAAACAAACCTACTGCGCTGCCAGTCGTTAAAAAAGTATAACACATGCAATTATATACGTACATAATAATTGATAATGGTAATAAACAACTATATTACTGGTTTATGTATTTACTATACTGTGCTTTTTATCGTTATTCTAGAGTCTACCGTTTGTGCTTACGTCTGCCGTGTTACACCAGCAGCAGCCTCATACCTCTCGGGTTTACCGAGAGGTTTTCATTATGAGAGAGGAATGTTCATGGTGCGTTATCTGCCTATAAGCAAACCAATGATGAAAAAAAACAATACAGCCTAAGTGTGGAGTAGGATATACCATCTAGGTTTGTGTGAGTATACTCTATGATGTTCACTCAACGACAAATCGTCTAACAACGCATTTCTCAGAACGTATCCTCGTCGTTAAGTGGAACATGACTATATTTTATTCCTTTTACGTTTATAAATTAATACTGGAGAAATGGTTACTAGCCTTTGCTCCCGATATTTCAGTCGCCTCTTATGACACGCATGTCTTACGGAAGAAGCAATCTTCGCTTCTCCTTGGAAGTGAAAAGGAATAAATAAGAACAAGAACTATTAAGAAAAATAGAAGAAAACTCAGTTATCTGTATTTACATATACGTTTACATGCATGTTTATTGTGACCTAAATGTAAGTAGAAGTATCAAGATGTACCCGTTATCTCCCATGTTTATGAGAAAGAAAAGACACCAGCAATATATATATATATATATATATATATATATATAATATATATATATATATATATATATATATATATATATATATATATATATGTGTGTGTGTGTGTGTGTGTGTGTGTGTCGTGCCGAATAGGCAGAACTTGCGATCTTGGCTTAAATATCAACGTTCATCTTGCCATATAGGACAAGTGAAAATTTGTGTATGCAATAATTTCGCCAAAATCATTTTGAACCTAACGAAAAAAAATATATTTCAATGTGTTTGTTTAGTATTTAATTATTGTAAACAAATCTAAAATATATTTAGTTGGGTTAGGCTAAAATAAATTGCGCTTGTTATAATAAGGTTAGGTAAGTTTTCTAAGTTCCTTTTGGTGCAAAATTGTAAATTTTTACATGAACATTAATGAAAAAAATGCATCTTTAAACGTATAAGAGAAAATTTTAGAAAGAACTTAATTTTAAATGAGTTCTTGCTAAATGACCAGTTTTACATATTCGGCACGACATATATATATATATTATACACACACATTTATATATGTACATATGCTAGTGTTGTTGGAGGTGGCAGCACAAGGCCAGGGTTCCTGGTGTGGGTGCCGCACTGCGGGTCGTCCCACACCCTGGTATGGATCAAGCCTCACACGCTGCTGCCTCGCTCAGTCACTGGCATTCCACCATCTCAACACTAACTCTGTATCACACTGCGAGGGGTGGAAAAGGTAGCCTCTTTTGTCTCGTAATCTATATACACCTTGACGCGATATAGTGTTAGTAGGTACCTTGTTGCAAAATCTAATTACCTACTAGAGGTAGGTATACGAGTGCAAAAGAGTGCCAAACACTCCACGATCTTATTAGACCTTAAGAAAAACAGTATACTTGTTTTCTATTTCCCATAAGCTCAGTATAAGACATTGTGCATTGCATCTCCACTGAGTCAACAATATCACTTTCTATCTGAGAAATGAAATGAAACGAATATTATCCCTGTATTTTTCAATAATACGTCTGACACGGTGCTGAGGTGTGTTCCATGCTCAACACGAAAACCCTGTGAAGCAGTACATTGTTTTCTGATCTGTGCCCCACGTCACGGCTGTGTAGCCAAGTGTCCAATTTGCACCGTCACACAACTCGCTGCCTCCTCCCGTCAGCAGCTGACTATGTCTGCTGCTGACTCTTTCGACAATGTACTCTCAGCTTTGGGATTTGGACGGTGGCAGATTCCCTCCCTCCTAGTGACTATCCTTGGTAAGTGCAAACTTGTTCAATAAATTGCTTCTAGTAGCCAATGTATGTGACGTATCCACTCAGCAACCCCTAAGTTTTCGATTAGCTAGTCTCGTTGCTTCTAATAGCCGGAGTGTAGTGCGTACAACTAGCTAACAGCAAAGTTTTCTAGTGAATTGTCTTGTTTTTAGCTGTCATTCAGAAGAGTGGCTGTAAATAGCATGGGATAAATAAAATAAACAGAAATTAGCACAGCCTGCGAGTATTTGATTGTAGTCATGGGGAAGCACTACAGCCACATAGATCATACAGCGCTTGGGGAAGGAAGGCATTCAGGTTCAGTCCAAGGAACAGAAGAACAGGTCCAATTCCTTAGATCAAGAGCCCCTCACCATCGTCAAGGAACCTCCTTTCAGGGGGTTGCGCCAGTATTAACGAGTCGTTGTATATTGACGGAATGAAATATATAATGTACATTAGCGGAAGACAATGTATATAATGCCAATAAGGCGTATTGTACAATGTATGTATTGTACAATGAATTAACGGAATACAGTGAATACTATTCTAGCATTGATGGATAACAGTGAATAATGTATTAGTATTGATAAAACAATGTACAACCTGCTAGTGTTGATAGAGGACAATAAGTGATGCTGTAGTCAACCCCCCCCCCTAACAAGAGTCTTTGACCCCGGTGACAGGTCAACTCTTCTAATAAGGAACTGGACCTGATCGCTCCTTCCTTCATTGGATCAAACCGAATTGCTCCCTATTTTTCTTAGGCTCTTTGTGACCCCCTACAGGTTTAACATTCCCTCCTCATGAATGTAATAATGATACTCATGTACCAGTATCGAGGGTCATGGTGTATAATTTACCAGTATTGATGGCGATTGTGGCAACGCAAGTGTTGTTATTCTACAGACTCGTCAGCTGAGCTGTGTCGTCTGAGAGGCTAGTTTATTGTGAGCCTCAACATTATCCTGTGAGCACAAATAAATGAGAGGATTAGAGGTCACAGTGGGTCTTCATCAGATTCTACTGGTCACAGTTGCATCTTTATAAATATAAGTCATTTCGTTTGACACAAATACCTCATACAGGAAAAATTCAGGTATTTTATTATCGGTAGATAAGACACATAGGCAACATTTAGGCAACTTTATACCATTTGAAAATCACTGTCACTCTATTTTATTATCACTAAAATCTTTGGCTATTATTGGGTTGCAGTCTCATCAAAGAACAGCTGGTGCAAAATGTGGATACATTCTCAAGATTTCAGATATCTTATCATTAACAATTAAATTATTTGCCATTTACTGTATGGTTTGCTCAGCGCTGTATAGCCCTTGTGGTTTAGCGCTTCTTTTCGATTATAATAATAATGTATAGTTTGTTTAGAGTCATCTCTAAATAGTTGGATGTTTGGACGCTCTTGAGATATAACGTTGCAGTTGGTTTAGAAAGACACGTAAGCAAACACTATAACATATTTATTAGAAAACGTTTCGGTCCTGGGACCTTGATCACTTCTAGAAGTGATCAAGGTCCCAGGACCGAAACGTTTTCTAATAAATATGTTATAGTGTTTGCTTACGTGTCTTTCTAAACCAACTTGTCGGTATTTATTACCAAGGTTTATACCAACGTTGCAGTGCATGGCATGGCTCGGTCCACACACTGAACGTTTCATATTATTGGCCTCTCCATACAAATTATATTAACATAAAGTCTTTTAGCCTACCCTTAGTTTAACAATGATAACACTGTATATTGCCCTTGTTACTTTCTCCACAGGCATGTTTTACTTGACACATTTCATTAAGACAGACACTGGATCACAGTTAATCCTTTTCAAACTTGTTTGCTAGTTTTTATTTTCTCACAAGGTATTTTTAAACGTCTGTTGAGAAGCCAAAATTATATTAAACATTATTTGCAAGTTAAGTTTTCATGTTCCCGGAGGCCTATGTGAGAAGAAATCAAATAAAGACCACTGAATCTAGATACTGACCACGGTAAACTTCTTTGAGATGAAATTGCTCAGGCTTCTAGAAACGAAAAATGTAGTTTTAATGAGAGATTTTTAACTTAAGCCAAATCAGTAGGAGCAGTTTGACAGCTAATCTAGTCTAGCGACTTTCTTGAAACAGTATAGGACTGCCTTTTAAAACGGTTTGTGTCAGAACCAATTTGAGGAAACAAGTTGCTGGACTTGGTTCTAGCAAACAAGAGTGCTCTGTCAGGTATTCTTGGTTAAGAGGATGAATAAAACACATGTGCAACAGTTGGGTATCTTATCGTTGAAACGTTTCTCCCACGCGGTAGGTTTCATCAGTCAAATACAGAAGAGAATGTATTGCAGACAGCAGGAATAGTGGCAAGGTAAAATGATGTAATCAGTTTATCATCCTTGGAGAAATAGTTTGAGGCGGTCAGTCCCTCAGCCTGGAGAAGAATTCAACTCTACGTTCTGGAAAGATGTGAAGCTGAACCATGAGAACGGAGTCTTAAATACTGTCGAAGGTGAGGTGGAAGATCTCGAAGACGTTGACGGGGACGGGATTCACTAGTAGAAGCAAGAAGACAAGAAATGAGGAGCACTGCAGAAAGCAGTGCTCTGGACCTGCCTAACATGGGCCTACTGGTCCATGTTAGGCGGGTTCAGAGAGACCTACCTAGTATGGGCCAGAGGAACCTGCCTAGCGTGGGCCAGTAGGCTTTCTGCAGTGCTCCTCAATTCTTGCCACTACTCCTGGCGTCTACAGTACATTCTCCTCTGTATTTGACTGATGAAGGCGACCACACAGGTGAAATATTTCAACAATAATGATACCAAACTGTTGCACATGTGACTTAATTATTAACATAAGTAGTTTAATGAGAGAGAGAGAGAGAGAGAGAGAGAGAGAGAGAGAGAGAGAGAGAGAGAGAGAGAGAGAGAGAGAGAGAGACAGACAGACAGACAGAGAGACAGAGACAGAGACAGACAGACAGACAGTGAGAGACAGACAAAGAGCGAGAGGGAGCACTCTCACTAGCAACAGCTTATACACCCATTCAAAGAACAAAATTCTCATATGTGTCAATCTTCTGAAAGCATGTGAAGAACTGAAGCTCCAGGGTGGACCTTAGTTACAAAATAGACTGGCCGAGTGGTTAGCACACAGGCCTGTGAGATTTAGGACTCACCTACCATGGGTTCAATCCCCACCTGTTCTGTAATTGTTTTAGTCAACTCTAGAGAGCACCTCCTCACCCTGACTGAATAACTTTTACAATTGGTAGATATCCTATATATGACTTAAGAAATCGTAATGACACGATTGCAAATAAACCATACCCCTTATTGTGGCTAGCTGGTCTAGTGGTTAGCGCGACGGGCTGGAGTTTTGAGACTCTATGACCGCGGGTTCAATCCCGGCCGGGGGTATGGTGTATATCCTATATATAAATGAGACCATTCACAGGAGCACTCAGCTCTGGTGTTCTAAGCTGATTATTGATAATATGCAGGATTGTGGTTACGTGTGGCGTACACTGTCCACACCACAACCATCATCACCATCTATCTGGCTCCCACACCAAAATATTCTCTGTATAAGTTGGTGTTGTCAGTAAACGTCTGCTGTAACTCATGAAGCAAAAAATTTGGAAAGAGGAATCTTCCTGCAGATTTTTTTTTATATAAGTATTACTTTTTCGCTCTCAAAAATAGAGTATAATTTAAAAAATATTTTGGTGTTTAAATTTTATCAGAAATTTCGAATTTAACAAAAATTGTGTTATATTTTAAATTGTTTTGGCGAGTTGTAAATCTGCCATTATTAATTATTTTCTATCTATTTATTTGCTTTCATCACTCTCAATGAATATATTTGATTGCTTTTTATTGAAAAATTCGAAAAAAAGGTAAATTTTAAATTTAAAGCAAAAAAAGCAAGATGGTGCATTTTCAAACTCTTAAGAATAATAAGAGCAATAATCTATTTTTACTCTTGTGTACACATCTTCAATACTTTCCTGTCTTCAGTTTTCCTCTACACATATACCAATGTTGTTACATTAAAAAAAAAACGATTTTTTATTGCATATTCACTTCGAAGACTATCACCATGAAACTTGTAGCTTCTCATATTCCAGTTGTGTCACACTTCCACCAAAAGAAAAATACAAAGACAATTGAAGAGTGAATAAAGAAACAAGCGTAGTAGTGGACCTTCTTAATGGACCATCTTGACGAGTGTCAAGGTTCTCTTTCTTTATTTTCACATTTTAGCTCTGAAATAATGCAGAATTTTTTTCTCTTAGTGATGTAACCAAGAATTGTAAAAGTCCATCGTAGCTAGTCGATATAAAATAATTTTTCCTATTTACCACATAAAAAATATTATTAATATGAAGAAGAGTCGTATATTTGTACCTTCTGTCCCATTGTACAGTTAGAAATGTCCCATTGTAGTTAGAAATGTCCCATTGTACAGTTAGAAATGTCCCATTGTACAGTTAGAAATGTCCCATTGTACAGTTAAAAAATGTCCCTTGTACAGTTAGAAATGGTCCCATTTTTACAGTTTAGAAATGTCCAGTGTAAGTTAGAAATGTCCCATTGTACAGTTAGAAATGTCCTAGTGTCAGTTTAAAATGTCCCATTGTACATTTTGAAATGTCCTAGTGTACAGTTTTGAAATGTCCCATTGTACAGTTAGAAATGTCCCCCAAGTACAGTTAGAAATGTCCCATTGTACAGTTAGAAATGTCCTAGTGTACAGTTAGAAATGTCCCATTGTACAGTTAGAAATGTCCTAGTGTACAGTTAGAAATGTCCCATTGTACAGTTAGAAATGTCCCAGTGTACAGTTAGAAATGTCCCAATGTACAGTTAGAAATGTCCCATTGTACAGTTAGAAATGTCCTAGTGTACAGTTAGAAATGTCCCATTGTACAGTTAGAAATGTCCTAGTGTACAGTTAGAAATGTCCCATTGTACAGTTAGAAATGTCCTAGTGTACAGT